GAATTGGTTACAGACTATCACAAAACTTCTGTTTCTTCTAGATGTGTTTTGAAGATTGATCTGATGAAAGCATTTGATTCTGTGGACTAGAAGTTTCTATTGAAGGTTATGGTGGCTATGAACATTCAATTGAGTTTTATTAAATTAGTTGAAGCCTGTGTCACATCTCTTATGCTGAGTGTGGCTTTCAATGGTGGGCTTTGTGGTTATTTCCCAGCAGGCAAAGGGTTAAGGCAAGGGGACCCTCTTTCCCCTACCTGTTTACTATTGCCATGGAGGTCTTTTCTTGTATGTTAGCTAGGGATGTTTCTCAAGATTTTATCCCTTATCATCCACGGTGTAAAAGTCTTGGAATCACTCACCTCTGTTTCGCGGATGATCTTCTAGTTCTTTCAAATGGTTCAATCAGGGCAGTTGCTGGGATAAAGAGGTTGCTTGATAAATTTTATCATGTTTCTGGGTTGAGATGCAATTTGGCCAAGTGCCAATTGTTCTTTGCAGGAATTTCAAAGGAAGAGCAGAAGTGGATTTTAGATTTCACAGGGTTCCCTTTGGGAGAACTGCCAGTAAGATATCTTGGAGTGCCTCTTTTATCTGAAAGATTGTCAGCTCAGGATTGCAGCACCTTGGTGAGTAGAATAACTAAGAAGATCACCACTTGGCAAGCCAAAACTCTTAGCTATGCTGGGAGAATTCAGTTGATCTCCGCTGTTATCACTAGTCTATTCCAGTACTGGATGGCTGTCTTCCTGTTACCAATGAGGGTTCTGAAAACGATTGAAGATCTGTGCAACAAGTTTCTGTGAGGGGTTGGTTTGGATGGGAGGAAGAAAGCACTTGTGTCTTGGTCTAGAGTTGCTCTGCTTAAAGCAGAAGGAGGGTTAGGGATCAGGGACTTCAATACATGGAATAAAGCTTGTGTTCTAAGGCACTTATGGAATTTGCTTTCTGAGGCAGGATCTTGGTCGGTTGCCTGGATCCAGAAATATAGAGTTAAAGGGCGTGACATATGGGGGATCCCTGTGAGCTCAGTCAGTTCGTGGGTTTGGAAGAAAATACTCAAATGCAGAGGGCTTGCTCACTCTCATATCACTGGGGCAGGTACTACTCTTGCTTGGGATGGTCAATCACTGGTGAAATATTCTGTTAAGTTGATATGGAATTCCATTCGAGTTCCATCCCCCACTGTTGAGTGGTGTCCTATTTTGTGGGGCAAGCCTTTTATCCCAAAGCATAGTCTGCTGGTTTGGTTGATTATCTTGGATTGAATTACAACGAAAGATAAGCTTGAAAGTTGGGGGTTGGCAGGTGAGAGTTGCTGTGTTCTTTGTCCCGGTGGGTTTGAAAGCCGAGATCACCTTTTCTCTTTATGTTCTTATAGCACTGAGATTTTCCATTCAGTGTTAAAGAAGATCTGCAGGTGGACTCATTTCCAAGATTGGTGTTCTCAGTTGGCCTGGGTAACGCAAAGATGGTCGGGTACAAGCTCGAAAGCTAAGGGTGGAAGACTGTTATGGACGATGTGTTGTGCATATATTTGGCGTGAGAGATGTGCTCGAATTTATGGCACTAGAAGAGGTTCAGATCCTTCTCTAATCTCAACCATAGTAATGCAGGAGTTCCAGTTATATACAGGCAGCACAATTGAATTACAGAAGATGGCCAAGGACGTGCTGGGCTTATAGAACCATTAGGTTTTTTTTTTATTTCAATCACTTACTGGTATAGGTTTCTCTTTGGGTGTAAAACGTTGATACTTTGAGAGGGAGGTTGCGAGTTGCACCTCCCCGGGCTTCAATACAATTTTGATTAACCATAAAAAAAAAATTAGCATCAATTTTCATTAGCAAAGAAGTGACTGAAACATATCTATTTGAATGTGGTGACCTGAAATCAATTCTCTAACATTTACGTCATGATGTTGCATCTAGCGCTAGCAAGGTTGTCAACCGCGGGCTGATCCGGACCCGTTCGAGCTAGTGGGTCAAGTGTTAATGGGTCACCCGTTTTAGCCTGGTTTAGCCCGGAAATATGAAAATAGTCATTATATTATGCTTATCCTGATTAATTATATCAAATCTCATCTAACATATGAGTTATGAGGAATTTTACAATGCTATATAGCATTAGTGCTATAGGTTTTTGTCTTTATGGTACAACTTGTAATTGTACATTTAACTTTACGGTACAACTTCAAATTGTACATATACTTTTTGTGCAAATTCTTTTATGGTACAACTTGAACTTGTGCCTTTATGTGATGGTACAACTTCAAGTTGTAAAGTTGTACCATAACATAATGGTAAAAATTCCTTTATGGTACAACCTAAACTTATATATTTATTGTTATGGTACAACCTAAAGTTGTACATTAAAGCACCAATACTATATAGCATAGTATAAGTGCTCTTGAGTTATAACATATAATATCACACCAAAATAACATGTCGTACTTAGATCCAACGTATAGTGAAAATTCACTTATATAACATCTAAAGATTTGAATATTACATACTAAACATAGGATTTTATTTGATAATGAATTCTACACGGTAATTCATTTTACAATGAAATCGATTCATTTGATATCAAACAGTCTGTAAGAGATGTACTAATCTACACTTATGTTATATGTTTTATTATTCTACCAGCTCTTTTATCATAATAAACTTGTCGGGGTGAGGTGAGAAACAATAGTGTAGCTTAATTGTCACGGCAAGAGGAAAACCAAATATGGTAGCTACTTAATTTCATCTCCACTTTATCTAAACACCAATCCCAAAATATTCACACTGTGGTTTCCAGAAAATAAAATAAATCCAATTACCGTTCTCATTGGGAACAATTTTGACACCGATCAGTATTGAAGTCCCAAACAAAAATTCACTTGCAAATGTTAACTTAGGAAACAAGCCAACGTGTTTCATTTGTTTGAGTAGTATGAGTCGTTTCATCCTTTCTCGCCCACGTTATAGATGAAATAACAGTAAAATAAAGCGAAAATGTTTTGCGTCGAATTGAGATTAATTTCGCTTTTGACTTCTTTAGATAATGGTTACTAAGACACGACTCACACCTCTATAAACAAATTTCAAATAATGGTGTTTGATTGATGGTTTTTGGTCACAAAATCTAAGTTCAGTTACTCCTACTCCTATATAAGTTTTTGCAGGAAAAAAAAAGTTAAACTTGACGTAGGGGTTAGTTGTGTGGTTTTGGGAGCCTTGTCTCTGTCAACCATCTCACTTATTTATTGGAATGCTAAGATAACCACCTTGGAGAACCGTCTGCTGAGAAACTTCCAAAAAGAACAACTTCCTTCTTCCTCAGACTTGTCTTTAGACGTGAGATGAATGGTAGTTGCTCCTTGCCTCCTTCAATTGCCTAGGCGTCTCTCTCTTGTTGGGTTCGAAGTCTTGGCGATAGCCTCCTCTCCATCATGATCATTACTGTCTAGATCTCGCGATGAAGGTCGTCTTGATCTCACGACCAACATGGTCTAGATCTCACGGCCAACGGGGTCTAGATGTAGATATTGCAGATGGGCTTTCTAGATCTTGCAGATGGTCGCTTCAGACTTAGTTATTTGTGTTTAAAAATCTAGTACCTTAGGTCCAGTCTAAATTACATTAATTGTTCTAATTGATCCAAATGTCTTGTAAATAATCAAAGTGGTACATGATTATTTTTACGTGTCAATTATGAAATGTTCATAGAGTATATCAGCAAAACAAATGTCCCCAACTACTTAGTGTATGAAATGTTCATAGTGCATTTTTAGTTGGTCATTTTGCAGGTGCTCATATGATATGAAAGTAATTGAAATAAGTTTCAACAATCTATCAGGTGATAGTTTAATTTTATTTGCTTTTACAAATTTATGCGAGTAATTAAGCATGCTCTTTCGAAGAATGCTAATGTATTTTTTTGTGGCATTTTATGGCAACTCAATATTTGTCATCCGGCATACTCCGTCGAAGGAAACTACACTCGCTGGCGGGACTATCTTGGAGATGTAGGTCATTGTTTTTATTTGTTTCCCGTCAGTGTCGTGTCTTTGCTCCTCGGAGCTACTTCAGAGCTGCCCAAGTAGTGGCTTTTCAAACTCTTTCATCGGTTGTCTGGTTGCACACGAACTAACGTGTAGAATTTGAGTCGGTCTTGTAATCGTGTTGAGTCTTTGTCTAATGCCCTTTGGGCTTGTCTTGAAAAAAAAAAAAAATTGACCACATTAAATACTTTTCCTTGAGACAAATAAATACACATTTGTGGCTCCTTCCTTATCCATTACTTTGGCTTCAACGAAAGAAAACCACAAAACTCCTCATCTAATAGGGATTGAACACGGGTTAATTACTTATCCAATTTTTGCTTTAATAACATAATCACCAAAATTCCTATTCATACTCAACGTAAAGCCACCTTAAAAAGATCAAAAGATAAATTAATCTCTCATGGTCGTGTCTTTAACGACAAGCCCCCACAGCCATTTAATCCTCATTTCTCTCTTGCCATCACTCATCTCTAAACCAACAAGCCCTCACCCCGTGGCTACAACTAGAAGCTCGTGACCACCTAGACGAGAAGACATGTCATGCCCAAGAAGCCAAGACAAGACTTGAAATGCCAAAGCCATTACAATGGCTTGGTATCAAGATCCTTACTTCCAAGTTCTTCTCTATTATTTTTTTGTTAACTCATGATTGAATTTTTTATCACCTAATAAATATTTATTTAATATGGCAAATAGTGATACAATCACTGCTCTCCATAACCTTTGGTAAAAACCAATGCGCCAAAGGTACGATGTACACCCACTGCCCAGTGCATGGATCACACTAAGCAAGCCAGAGGAGACAAACAGCTCTGGGAATTGCTCTTGAGTTTGTTGATCAGGGCTCTCTTGTGCTGCTGAATATTCCCAAATACCTCGACATTTCATTTTCTCTTATCGATTCCCAAATGGCTAAGTTGTAGAGGGAGGTAGTCGTCCTTCCTCCATGCTACATCCAACACCTTTGGGAATTGCTCATGGCTCAACTATGCAGCAAGGAAGCGGAAGAGGAGATCTTTTCGTCTCCGTTCTGCAGGTTTGCCTTGAATCAAAATCGGGCGGTGGTTTGAACCAATCCTTTCCAGATGTTTCACAATCATCTCAGGAAACTTTACTATCCATGCTTTGTTGCACAGAGCTCGATCGAGCCTATGGTGTAGATTGCCCCTTCTCCAAGAAAGCGGTCCCGAGAAGTCAACCTCCACCAGTCTGGTTTCATCGATGCATTGCCGAAACGGGCGAGTTCGAGCTTCATGAAAGCCTGCTCCTCCCATTTGTTCTCTCGGGCTAAGGATCGAATTGAAATCTCCTTCTAGGAGCATTGGGAGTTGACTTCTTCTTGCCAGTCTATGATTCTCTTCCCATAAGTCACCTCTCTTCCCATGTGAGTCGACTTCTTCTTGCCAGAGGAGAAATGGCAAGGAAATTCCACCTCTCCGTCCACACTTGAAATGTACCATTTGTTCCCAAACACCAATATGCTCCACCATTAAATTATGTTTGTGCTAGAGCAGCCAAATACCACCTGCGAAAACCACGATATCAATCATTAGGTCTCCATGGAAACTTGTTGGGAGATTACTTGTCGCGTTGTCTCCCACTAATGCGAGGTTCCAAAATGAAAACAATGCCAGGCCGGTATAAGACCCACAAAAAGAGAACAAAAATGAAAGAAACTGATCATTCCTTGCCCCTTGACAGTTCCACGACATAATATCTAACATTAAAATAAAGGAAGGAGAGAGGAACCGAGTTAAACAACTCAAACTTGGGGGATCCCGGGTAGCCGAAGCTGGCTCGGCGTTGATTGATGCACCGAGTTAAAGGGCGACTCATGTGGTGCCCTGTAACTATCCAGAAGAAATTATGTCAAAACGACTTGGATAATTTGGACATCCACCAGACGCACGGACTACACCGCGATTTAAATCCCGACTAGAGACCAAGTATAAACTCTAGTCGGGTGCAGTATAAGGCAAGTAAGTCTTAATTGTCAAACCCGAGCTAGTCCATGTACCCCTACTTCAATCGCTTACGTTGTTATCTAGCAACATGATTTTTGGTTATATAAATCTAAAGAAACTACAAATGAAAACAATCAAGAAAAGTAAATGGAGGAGAATTCTATATGAGAGGACTTCACTCGGGTATTGCTCCTCCTAGTCTCGTATTAAGAAACCATGAACGGAACTCTATTGTGAAGGGTGTGTTCATATACCGCGAGGCGGGTGCAACTTGCTAGGAACAAGCCCTCCTAGTCGATCAATCAAGGATTGCTACAATAAGCTAGGGAACCTAGCTCTCTTAACCGCTTGGCTAAGCATTGGAACAATAAGCTAGGAGGCCTAGCTCTCTTAGTCGAACAAACCGAGGAAACCTTAACTCTCTTAGTTAACCAATTAAGGATTTTTCATTAAGTTAGTAGACTAACTCTCTTAACCTTTGGGCTAAGGATGCAACAATAGGCTCAAAAATCTAGCCCTCTTAACTAATCAACTAAGGATTGCAAGACCCGACCCTCGGAAGTTTATCCGGGCAGCGGAGAGTAACCAATCATGATGGAATCATGGTACGATATTTGAGGTCTTGGCCCTAGATTGACCCAAAAAGAGTTACCCAAGTGGCTAGGAGATCAAGCTCCCTGTGGGCCAAAGGGGGATTTCCACATTCTATGTTAATTTGACCAAAAATGAGATAATGCAAGCAACAATCAATCATTCATGATTAATACCTCAAATACTATATAAAACACACAATCAACACAATAAAATCATGTTCTTAGATCCTAACACACGTCTAGACTAGGATTCGCAATACCCAAGTGAGTAGGTAGGCTATTCCATAGCTAGGCAAAGGAAAACAACAAAAAGGAGAGAAAGAACAATGAAGAGATGAATATCTTCCTTCCTTGTTGCTTGAATATCCTTTGAGAAGAAGAAACCATCAATCCTCTAGGTTAGGGCAAACCCAATCTCCTTCTTCAATCTTTGAAAGGGCACTTTCTCTCTCTAGCTTTGAAGAATAAACCCTAATCTTTCACTAGAAATCCCATTTTATTCTACAAACTAAAAAACTCAAAAAAAAAACTCTCTTTCTCTCTCCTAGCAGCCTTCTATTTATAGAGCCCGATAGTCACTGTCACGGTCTCTCGGCAATTATCATGATCAAGCGACTGTGATAACCCTTACGCACACGAGACACGCGAAATGGTTCTGGATCCCACGATCTTCACTTTAGACCTTTCTTCACTTTTTGGCCTTTTTCAACCTTTAATCGTCCCAAAACTCGTTCTCGCCCCTTTCAGATGTGCTAGGACCTGAAATGTATCAAAATAGCACAACCTTGTGCAAAATAGGTCGAGTGACGATGAAATGTAAAGTACAGTCAAACTATCAAGAAATTTGATATGATCCCAAATGGTCCATTATACACGTTTAATTTACTTGACAAAGAAGCTATCGAAGATGGGAAGAAGAAGGACAGAATTTGGATAAGTCAAAATCAGTGTTCAGTGTACATAATTTGGAGGCATGGTTCTCTCAATTGGCTTGGTGGAAATTCCAGTTCAAGGGCTTGTTTTACAGACAAAGTTGCCATGTTTCCAATGGTATGCTTTGTAGATCCAGAAGATCTGATTAAGGTTGTTATCCAAGGCCTCAAAGTTGCTACCTCAAAACTGGAAAACTGCCAAAAAATGGCTAAGGCAGAAAACTGTTTTGTGAAGCCTACTTTGGAGCTCAATTCAAGGAGCATCGATGGGATTCAAGTCAAAAGGCTTCCACAGCATGAAACTAGGTATGTTTATGTACAGAGTGAAGGAATTGGATGAAGGATTGGAGTTCTGGAAGGCCTCGAACAAAAGGGGCGAAGTTAGTACGAAAGCTGCTTTTGGACTGTTACTGGCAGCTTACTTGCGCTTGAAGAAAGGGCGTTTAAACCAGAATTTTGTGTCCTTTTTAGTGTATAATTTTACCTTAATTGTTTCCTAGTTATACTATGATTGTATTAGGTTTTATTTGCCTTTAAATACCGTTCTATTTACGTTGTAAAAACTTAGACTTTGATTAATCGAATTGAGAACCTTTTGGTTTTTGTGCAAGTTGCGACTTGTGTGTTGAGTTTGGTGGATTCCAAGCTCATGAGCTCTTGTATTGATTGAATAGTCACTTCAATCGTGGTCGGGCATCTACCTTTTATACCAATCGAGCGTTCCCCAGGTGTGGAATTGTCCTTTTGGTTCCGTTTTATCCAAGTTCGTTTTAAGAACGCTTCGTTCTTGATTCGAGCTCAATCGAAACCCCGTTCAAATCAAGGCAAATAGTGAAGAATCGTTGGTTCAAGTCAGTGGCGAGAAGGATTGATTAAGGCTGTTTTTGTGTGAAATTTCAGCCGCAAAAACAGAGCATCATGGCCGCAGAGTTAGCTGAATCCATGTTCTTCACCCGCTGTTTAATCCATGAGAAAGTGTGTTTGGTTCTCGTTGATGGAGGCAGGGAGAGGAATTTGCTTTCCTCTAGAGTCGTTAGCAAGCTAGGGCTGCAATCTCAATTCCATCCAGCTCCCTACAGTTTGCAATTGCCATACGAGAAATATCCAAACATTGTGATGTCTCAGGTGGTTGTGGAGATTTCGATTGGCAAATACGAAGATCGGATAATGTGTGATGTGGTATACAATCTTCCTAGTGGTATTAGTTAGCCTTGGTTTCGTGATCGACAAGTTCGGCTAGTTAGCAGAAGAAGCAACCAATTTCGATTGAAGCATCTTGAAACCTTTGCCGCCAGAAGAAGCAGCAAGTGATTTGAAGGCTGTTCAACTCTTATAGGAAGAGTATTAGGTGGGCTTGTTATCAAATAAGTCAACTACAATCCCAACAAACCCGGAAACAAAATCTAGAGTACAAGAAGGAAATTGCCCGCAGGACTGTACTGACGTTTCTCGGCAGGTGCTTACCCAAAATTCAGCTTGTGAATTCGTCGACAGGAACAATGATGAGGAGTCGGACCTCTCTGAAAACGAGCTCGCTGGAGCCAACAAAGCCGGAGAAGCTAAGCCCGAGCCCAATCTCGTTGCCGAAGAGAAGGCCACCAGCGCTGGGCGCCTCTGTTTTCCTTTGATAAAACAGAGTCTGTGTTCTGCAACAAGGAGTCTCTGTTTTTCCACGAGAGAACAGGCCAAGAGAGAGGTAGATTTGGGTGGATAAGTGGAAAGCCATTCGAACCTGGCCAGTGGTCTCGAAACCTTTGGCAGAGGATCACGAAGCTTTTCGATGGACTGGAATCCATCGAATGCTTCCGCATCGACCGATCCCATTTGTTGATGTGACTTGAATCGGACTATGGGCTCAATGTTATTTGGGTTCGGGTTCTGGGCCTGGTCTGTAACCATTTCCTTTGCCAGATTGGATTAGGTTTAGACCCACATGGAGAAGTACTATAAATACTTCTCATACTCCTCTGTAATCTGTAATCTCCTCGATATTGTGAAATTGGCTCTCTCTCGCCCGTGGACGTAGCTAACACACATCGTGTTAGTGAACCACGTAAATCGTGTGTCTGTGTTTTCGATTCTCGCTTTCGTATTCTTGCTTTGTCGATTCCAGCGATTTTCCGATCCGTAGCAGCGCGTTTATAACAAGTGGCATCAGAGCCACGGCTGGAAATCAGGTTAGGGTTTTTCGATTCAGAAGAATGACATCGGTGAACATGAAGATCGAAAAGTTCACGGGGAAGAACAGCTTCGCTATATGGCAGATCAAGATGCAGGCTTTATTAAAACAGCAAGGGCTGTGGGGGCCGCTGTCTGCGAAACAGAAGAAGGCAGCGGTCGATGACGATGAGTGGAATACCCCGGAGGAGAAGGCCCACTCGACCATCATGCTATCGTTGTCTGATGACGTTATCATTGAAGTCGTTGCTGAGAAGACTGCCGCGGGCTTGTGGTTGAAACTAGAGAGTCTGTACATGACTAAGTCTCTAACCAACAAGCTGCATCTCAAGCAACGGTTGTTCAGCTTGAGATTGCAAGAAGGTATGCCTTTGAGGGAACATCTCGAACAACTTAACTCTATTTTGATGGATCTGCGTAATATAGATGTTCAAGTTGATGACGAGGATGCTGCCCTAATCCTACTGGTTTCTTTGCCGAGCTCATATGAGAATTTCTTTGATTCTTTTATTGCTGGTAAAGAAAGCGTGTCGTTGGAGGATGTCAGGTCTGCTCTTCATACGAGAGAGATCAGACATAAGGCGTCTGGATCTGGTACAGGTGGTGAGGAATCGTCCTTTTGGT